CCTTGCAAAAAAAAATCAACAAAATTACAGATTTTTTTCATTAATGTCACTAAATTGCTACTGAATTTGATTTTAGTGCAACAAAATGCAATCAAAAAATTGTTTGGGTACATAATATTAGTTCTGAAAGAGTTTCAAAAACCTCAAGTAGTTGGAATTTTATGAACCAACTCAAAATAAATAACCACAACTGTGTTTAGTACTGAAACGATTAACCGATTAGTGGACTGACAAAAACACATTTATTTATCGAAAATGCAGATAATCACTCGTTTAATTCATTCTTCTTCTTCTCAAAGTGAATATCTGCTGGTTTTCCCTGTTTAACATCTGTGCAAACACCACTGGGTTTTGAAGATATGGAGTATTCAAAAACAATAATCCAAATCATCGTTAGTCACTATTTTCACACTCAATTTGACATGAGTTTAGATTTCTTTTTAAAACAACATGACTCCTTAAATTGTGGAAATGTCCTGAGATACATAAGTTGACATGGGAGGAGGAGAGCAGACAGAGTGAGGCATCTGTAGCTGCTGAGTAAGAGGGTGTGTGCCGCGGCTCCGGCCCTGAGTGACAGGTATTGACCCGCCCAGCCAAAAGACGTCTCAGTGGGAACGCTATTGATTATTGCCACAGCAATAAAGGTCCCAGAAGCTTGTGAGAATGTCACGACTCTCTGCTGCCTATAGCTGCCGCTGGTCCCGACACACGAAGACAGAAGCACTTTCTCTCTGACACTTCCTAACCCACAGCCATGACTCATTCTCTCACCTCCTGCCTGACGAAAGAGAGATTGGTGGCATCTCCATTTGCATGAGTAGCTCCAAATAACCCCATTTGCTCACTTATATTCAGTAGAATCATGCAGATAGTTTTCATTCATTTTGCTTGAATTTGGAGATATTTGTCTTTTAGATTTCTGCTGCCACTCCAGTACAATGGAGGTGAATGGCATTTTATTTATGGTGTTGCCAGCAATGGAATATTACAGTTAAAAGAAAGTTCAGCAGCAACCTGTCTTTCCAGAATCATTGTCCATGCTACTCAGGATAATTAGCGGAACATGTTGTTTTTCGGTTTTCACTTTTCCAACTTCTATTCACCTCCATTGTGTTGGGAAGGAGGCAGAAATCTCAGGGCTTGATATTTCAAAACCTGCACAAATAAAACCCAAACTGAATTGCTCTACCGTTAGAGACAAGTGAGAAAATCTGTGTTTTTGTTATTTGGGTGATCCACCCATTTAAGATAAGTATAAGCCCCAATATGTGCAGTTTATCCACCTTTTCTTTCTGTCTCTCTTTTCTGCAATCTGGTCAAAACAATGAAGATTTCCCCTTTCTCTCCCCCTCTGTCTTTAATTCACATACACACACACCCACACACACACACACAAACAAACGCCATCTCCACCCTTGACCTCGCAGTGAAAAGTTATTGCAACCGAGGTTGAACTTTCCCAGATTTGCCCCCGCAACCAACGCTGGGAAAGTGCCCCTGACATACGTGTGTGCGCATGTTTGTGTGTGAGTGTGGCAAAACTTGGGGTGTCATGAATAGGAGAGATTTGACCCTCGACCCCCCTGACCTGTCCACACAAACGACCCCTTTAACCCAACCCAGCTATTGTCCGCCAAGACTGCCTTCGTTTATTCAGAGAGCCCGCCAAAGGAGTCAAAATTCATTATATACCACTTTGCTTATTATTTTCCACCCACATTTATGTCTTTATGCCGCTCCCCCGTTTCTTCACCATTCTTTCCACCATACTCATTCTCTTTCTCCGGCTCCCATCCCTCCTCTTTTTGCTCGTTTTCACAGTCGACCTCATCTTCTGATCTTGAATCTTCAGTCGAGTGCTGAGCTGACTGAGCATTAGCACTACATTATTTGTATACTTAAATTCATTACAGATGTAGCCTGACTCAATTCTCAGATAAAAATGTACCACTGTAAAACTTCCAGTCAATGCCTCATCTTAAGTGTCATCACATCTTTTGGAAAAATGATACATTTTTATCCTTTTTTACTTAAAATAGTTTTTGTATTCCCCCCAAGCTGCTCCAATATGTATTTTTCTTCTGACAAATTTCTTGTATGCACGTGCATAAGCTTGTAGTGTGATTGTAGACAGCTGGAGATGACAGATTTGATATTGTTTCTATAATTTAGATTGTTAGTTTAGTGATACTGTGTGTAATCTATCTGATTTATAATCCCTAACACGTGTCATTTAATAAATTGAGTTTTATAAACTTAGTTCAGGAACATGGACCACGCCCTGAACACAGCTAATTTCCTCCGCACAGAGTATAGCACAACGAACCTGTCGCTTCCTCTTCGACTCTGCTTTCACATCCCTCCCCCCAACCCCGTTTTCTGCCTCTCCCTCTCTCTCTCTCTCTCTCTGTCTCTCTCTCTCTCTCTCTCTCGTAGGTTTACTGGAACAACGGGGGACTCTGCACCACCAGAGCTTCCAAAGAGACGGCCCCCACTCTACAGTCTCCATTCCCCCAGTTGCCGCCAGCCATCGGACACCAACGGTCCCCCATCGCTCGCCCAACCTTCGTTCGACGACCTTCTCCACCCTCCTCGTTTCTTCTTCCCTACACCCTTACATCCCTTCATCCCTTTACCCCCTATCCCTACCCTACATCCCCCTCCCTCTACCCCTTCCGCTTCCTAAACCTAACAATCATTCCATCACGCATTAAACTTCTCGAAAACTCATATTGTTATTGCCGTGGTCCTTGTTAGTGGAAAGAGGGATGTGGCACGTTGTAAAATCATTTGCGACAATGTTCTCTACAAACTAAGATCATTCAAACTTGCTGGATGTCACCTGGGATAGACTGGGTTCACGTATTTCTTTTGAAAATCAGTCTCAACCACAACTGTCAAAGGAGTTTCTCAAAATGGGCTGCAGGGGGCCTCCAGGGGTCATTGAGGAGGTTCAAGGTGCAGCAAAACCTGTTGCCTTATGTGCAGGTGATGCAAGCACATACCAGGTACCACATACTCCTCATAGAGGAGACTATTGAATATTAAATGGGAGAATCTGTTGACCTGTGGACTGACAAATACCAGTGGCTATTCATTTAAGTGAGTAATGGAAGCTATAGCCATGATACCGTTCCTGTTCATCTCTGGCTGGCATGTTCCTTTACTGTTGGCCTTGTTCCATCACTAAGTGACCCAACACACATGAACACAACACACCTGTTTGAATCCTCCGGACTTAACCGTTAAACCTTTTGAAACTGACCCTTTTCTCAATCACAAATTACAAGTTGCATTTAAAATCTTGAGGGACCTCTTGAAAACGTTCCAATGTTGTTGTTAAGAACTACCATGACTCTACTGAATCAGTGGTCTGTCCCCCTCCCAGCTCTGTTTGGAGTCTTCCTTATTTAAATTTGAAGAATTCCAATGAATATTAGGTTGAACACCGATCCCATTGATTGTCTTTGTTTCACTGATCAAGCCTCCATTTCAGTCATGAAGCCCTCCTGCACCTGTGGCATGCATCCCTCCAGACATGCCGACACCCAACCCCACCTTCACAAACACAGTTTTAGATCCCAGCATCTTAGATTATCTCAGATCCTGTCTCAGTGTGTCTTTGCTTTCTAATTGTCATGTTATCTTTGTGAAATTTCAAATTGCGTCACAAGTGTGTGTTCCCCACCGAGAGTGTGAGGTAATCAATGAGCTCCTCTTTTAGCAGCAAATGCAAAAAAAACAACAACAACAACCTCTGTGTTGTTTCTTTGAGATCTCAGAGTGGCTTTTGACACGCAGCAGGCCTTAAACAATAATTGTGATTAACGCAGTGATGGAGGGAATGCTTAAAGATGCAATGTGTTTACATTGGCTGAATTTGTGTTGCTGCGGCTCTTCTAACTAAAGGTCCATCTGCCGGAGCTGCAGCTCGCTCTCCTCCGGGAGAAGTAGTCTCCTGGTGTCGTGAAGGACAAAACAAAACTCTTGGTTGTTTTTTGCCAGTTAATTTCTAGCAGTGTTATTTCGACCGGCTCTCAGAGTTTCAGCAGTTTGGTCAAATTCAGCGTAGCTGGCTTTTTTTCCCCCCCGAGCCGATGACTGTAAATTTAGGTTGTGTGGACCCAGTACTAGAGGTGAAATGCTGCCTTCTGTTTCTTTGGAGCAGGTGGCCAGATCTTACACACTGCACCTTTAAGTTCAAGTAGCAGCACCACAGTGTAAAAATAGTTACAAGTATGTTCAGGAAAATGAACTTGAAGCATCAAATGACGTCATTATGAAGAATGCACATTTTATATTATTACATTTGAACCGCTTTATACTGCGCATACTTTAACTTGCAATGATGCATCATATTTTGTTATTTGATCATACATACTAGTAAATACTTGTAACTCCAGAAATATTTATGTGCAGTATTTGAGAAAATGTAATTAGTTATATTCCACCATTACCCAAAGAAAACCCATAAGAGCTGACCTCAGACAGACAGCCTGTGTGATGGGCCTTCTATTGGATAAAATCCTCCCTCTGCTGGTGAGTCCCTGAAACTACAGCCAAGATGAACACACCAGAAACAACCATCTGCCTGATATCTCCCTCACCAACTATATCACATGACAGTAAATGGTCACGCCTAATGTGTAGGCTATATACATGTAAAGACCAACTCTGCCTCCTAAATGTGTATAATGTATCTGTTGATTCACATGTTATGCAAACACAATGTCACATGGGGAAAAGAGCTGCAGTTGATTTAAAAAAGTAACAATGTATCATCTCTTAAAATTGTTATTAAAACAGATTTGTCTTTGTTATTTGACACATGAATGAATTACTAAGCAAAACTGATTTATTAGTTTGTAGAGGTTTGTCTGACTGGATGTTAACTGATATACGTCACAGTTTATATCTCATAAGTGTGGAGAGATTTACAGAGAAACACAATGTTGCCAAATCACGCCTTCATCTTTTGGATAACGGTGTCAAGACTTTTCCTTCTGCCACAGAGCCAAAGCGGAAGTTGTAACGTCGTCTCTCTCTGGCTCCGTTTGGATATGATCTTGGAAAAAGCGAGCAAGCTTGTACGAGAAGCCGGGAGGCGGGTGGAGGGGGTTGAAACGTTTGAGAAAACCCTTTTTTTCTTTTTCTTGGACTGCTGACGCGTCCACCCTGCGACGTGCTTGTGCTGGAGCACAGAAAGCAGCTTCCACCATGTTACTGCACTTTCTAGTTTTAGGGGCCTTCGTTTTCCTCGCTGACGGCTACTTCTCGGAGGAAATGTACCCGGAGGAGTCGAAGATGCAGCCTCCTACGGTGGTTATCGCCATTCTAGCCAGAAACACTGCTCACTCCCTGCCGTACTACCTCGGAGCTCTGGAGAGACTCAACTACCCCAAAGCTCGCATCACTGTGTGGTGGGTTCTCCTGCATGCGCCGCCGGGGCTGTTCGTAGAGGGCTCTCCTCTGGTTTAAACCCACTGTAGCAGCCGTTCAAAAGGTCAATGACATTTAAATTAGTTTGAGAAAGCAGCAGCAGCAGCAGCGTCCTACCCCCTCCTCCCCTGTTCCCTCTGAGCCTTTCAGTCCGCCGCACTCGCTTCCTACTGTGGACTGCGTTAGTTTTTTTTTTAAATTCCCTGTAGAGCGTGTTGTGACTGATACCCTTTCTTAGCACTCGTTTTAATGAAAATAGGACTAACATTAGTGATTGAAACCCATAAACTGAACTGTCCTCGAAGGTTTTTTGGCAGTAAACGCCTCTGTGGAGTACTTAAGTGTAGTTTTATGCGTCGTAAAGTGACCCCTTATCTCATTTAAAGCTCATTCTGCTTGTACATTTATCGTTTGATTTGATAAAACTGGATCTAATAAGAGAGATCATCTGTTGCTGGGTTGCATAGCAGTATAAAATAGATAGTGATAATTATATGACACGATCTATGGCGATGGATTAACAGTAAATATGTGATATATGTAGCCTACTTTGTATAGTTGTGTTGTGTTCACAGTAGTGTGTGTGTGTGTGTGTGTTAAAGTATACTTTCCACATAAAAAAAAATATCTTCCGTCACAGTACGGGTGGTTTTATATCACAATATCAATGTCATAATAAAGAACATTTTCTAAAAATCAATTGAGAAGTTGTTAATAACAACAGTGTGTCTGTTTTCAGCTTATCCAGCAAATGACATACCCGACCAATCATAATACTTTCATACCACCAGAAAGCTTCCTTAAGAAATAGTTGGAATTGTATAAGGAAAAAGAGATCCAAAGCATATTTGAAAGGAATATCATAATGCAATAACATGGTAACTGTAGGCTGCTCCACCGGATCAAGCATGTGTTATTATTAATGCGTCTTAAAGATGTGTTGGAATTAAACCGGCATTTGAAACACATCAGCTGCTCAGTCTTACCACCTGCTCTCTCTGTGCTCCTCAGGGCAGCCACAGATCACAACGCAGACAACACCACAGCCATACTGAAAGAGTGGCTTACCGTCATGCAAAAGTTCTACCATTATGTTGAGTGGAGACCGATGGACCAGCCCACGTAAGTCCAACTATATGAATGTGTTCTTCTATATTCACAGCAGGGATCTGGGTAAGCGAACATCCTGTTGGTCCTGTGTAGATCTAAGCCGATCTTACTGACCGAAGCAACATGAAGTCAGCTTTTATAACCTCTGTAGTGCAACTGTTAACCACAGTGTGTGTGGACATCCGTCTGAGCTGAAGAGGCCATTACTGGAAATAATGTGTGCATGCCAATCATACAGTCTGACTGCTAATCTGCTTACAGTCACTGAACTCTTTAAACTGTCAGCCTAGCTGTATTTCAAGCTGTGTATAGACGTATACAGTGGTTATCATATGTTGAAACCATTCAGCCTAATTCAGTTAGTAGTAAATTATGAGATATGAGAAGATGGCAACAATATACTATAATGTCCTTATTGTAACTCTCTGTTTTAGGTCCTACGCAGGAGAGTCGGGTCCTAAGCATTGGCCCAACAGCAGATACGAGTATGTGATGAAGCTGAAGCAGGGGGCGATCAACTTTGCCAGGAAACGCTGGGCCGATTACATCCTGGTACATAATAAGATACATCTTCTTGTGACGATAACATTCAAGTCAGCTCCGTCCCTTGATTTATCTGATTCCATTTGTTCCCCTCTTTGCTGCTGCTATTTCATCCAAGAAAAAGTTTCTCTTGTTCCAGAGACATGACTCCACAATCACTCTCCTATTTTTCCTCTCTTCCCTCGGTCTCCTCTGTGTCTCTGTTTCAGTACGTTGACACAGACAATATCCTCACCAACCCCGAAACCCTCAACCTGATGATGGCAGAGAACAAGTCAGCCATTGCTCCCATGCTAGACTCTCAGGGAGCGTACTCCAACTACTGGTGCGGTATCACGCCACAGGTGAGTGTGGACTTGATAGTGATCGATCATCTGCTGGAAGGGAACACATGAGAGAGAAAAAAATACAGTGTGAAGGGAAAAGTCAGTCATTGCTGCCCATGTCTCCATAGTCATCACATAAAAATGACCTCTTTATATCAAGATCCCTCCAACACATGGGTGTCTGACACCGTCTCTGTCTTTTAAGGGATATTACCGTCGAACAGCAGAGTATTTCCCCACCCGCCAGCGTCACAGACTGGGCTGCTTCCCGGTGCCAATGATCCACTCCACCATGCTGCTGGATTTAAGGAAGGCAGGCATGAAGAAACTGGCCTTCTTCCCACCTCACGAGGACTACTCGTGGCCCTACGACGACATCATCGTGTTCGCCTTCTCCTGCCGGGCTGCAGGTCGGTCGGAGCTTGTTTGTGGTTATGTGTTTGTAATCAAATCCACAAACGTACCTTCTTTACTGTAGAATAATGTGTTTTAGAGGGGAAACCTAAGATGGTACACAATGAATGTCTCGTTTATGAATTAATTCATTGATTGATTGGTCTTTGATGCCACTCAGAGGTACAGATGTATCTGTGTAACAAGGAGCGCTACGGCTACCTGAACGTCCCGGCCAAACCTCACCAAACCTTGGAAGATGATCGCCTCAACTTTGTCCATGTCCAACTTGAGTCCATGAGTAAGAGCAGTTTGTATTCAATATTAATATTAATAAAGACAGATACTGACGGGGAATAAAACTCAAACAAACTGACACAGTGATTTATGTTGGTTCAGCTTTGTTATATTAGATTATTCTCTTGTAACGTGTGTTCCCTCTTCGTCAAACAGTTGATGGCCCTCCAATGCGCCCCTCGCGATACGTCCATATGTTCCCCAAACAGAGAGACCTCATGGGCTTTAATGAGGTAAGAGACACCGCGTTGTTATTCTGGTAGAAGCAGACATTTGTTTTCAACCAACAATGTAGTCGCAGCATCTGTTTTGTTTGTCTTTTTAGGCTGTGTTTATCATTCAGAGTAAGCATGAAGCATACTCTGAATCAAAATCTGAAGAAATTTAGTTTAAGAAAGTACAGACTTGTCTAAAGAAGTCAGGGAGTTAATGATATACATGTCAGTAATGATATGCAGTTAACAACTAATTGTCCTCCTCTCCTCAGATATATCTGATTAACCTGCGGCGGCGTCTTGACCGTAGAGACCGGATGCTGTTCTCTCTGAATGAGCTCGAGATTGACGTCAAGGTGGTCGACGCCGTGGATGGGAAGTGAGTACACTCTCATGGAAAGAATGAATACAGCGAGACCACTCAACTGGCTTACATAGAAAGAGACAAATCAATATCGACATGAGGAGATGCTGACATAAAGTGACGATTGGAGAATGGTTGGTGAGAAGGAAAGACATTTACGGTACTTACAGAAATGTGCTGTTACATCAACTCATAGTTGTGTTAAATTCTTGGCATTGGGTTGAATGTCCTCTTTATTAAGGCCATTCAGTTATCTGTACAAGGTTAAACGTTTTAAATGTGTTGCTCCAGAATCTGAGGTTTCATTGACATGGCCTCATTTCCAAACGCCCCCTGTTCCCCTTACTCTTGCCCCCTTCCCTTCATGGGAATATAATTACTATAACACCTGGATGTTTGTGTGTGTCTGTGTGTGTGCATGCACAGTGCACTGAACAGCAGTGACATAAAGATCCTGGGTGTTGACCTGCTGCCAGGCTACTATGACCCGTTCTCTGGACGCACCCTAACCAAAGGAGAGGTGGGCTGCTTCCTCAGCCACTACTTCATCTGGAAGGAGGTGAGAAGACACACGCATGATACATGGAAGTCTTTATTGGTATGCCTGAAAGTGAGAGCAAGACTGATAATATAATCATGAGGATGGCATTCTGATCGAGAGGTGGGATTGGATAGAAGGATTTTTCTCTGGAGCTCCAATCAAATCTGTTTATCAAATTCAAAGCCTTGCAAATCTTTTTTTAATGGCATTCACTGCAATTGATAACATTTTCAAGTATAGATAAATTCTAAATAAATGAAAAATGTAATTTGAAAACTGAAATTCCAAGAAGTCCAAATGTTGCCATGTAGATAATTACCTATTAACTAATAACTAGTCAGACATTTTGTAATTTTGTCTTTGCTATTACAAATACGGAGATAACGTTTTTTTTTATTTTGGTTTCAACTTGGGTTTTTCCAACTTGTAAATGGACCCAAAACAGAACACAAGCGTACTAAATATACCATGTATTCCAGACATGCTGAGTTCATATTTTCCTCCCTTTTCTCCTCAGATGGTGGACTTGCAGATGGAGAAGGCGCTGGTCCTTGAAGACGACGTTCGTTTCCAGGCCAACTTCAAACGACGAGTCGTCAGACTGATGGAGGAGGTGGAGCAGGCGGAGCTGGAATGGGACATCATGTAAGATGGACACGTTTCATTCACACAGTTCTTGTTTCGGCAGGGATGGGTGAGGTTTAGGATGAGTATGCTCAAAAGTATGTTGTGTGTGGAGGAATGGGGTCAGAGGAAGGAAAAATTCACATCCGGGAATACATTGCACATCACTCATTTGTGTGTGTGTGCGTTTCTGTGATTAAGGTCTCTGCAGGACATCGAAACAAATGTTTTTAATCTAAATCATACCGAAAGGATTAGACAAAACCTCAGACACACAACGAAGGCATTTTGAAACTATCTATCAGCAGGAAGATGGGATGTGTACTAGCTTCTTTTTATGTGTGTATTGTGTTTGCGTGACTTTCTGGAAATGGTTAGACACACATGCAGAGCAAATGCTGAAAAAAAAAAAGACAGTACTTCCGAAATGATTTCCAACACATGTGGCAACAAATAACATCAGCTTTGCAGCAGATTTCTGGACTCTGATGTTTTAGACATTGCCTCATTTCTTCTCCACCGTTGTTGTTTTTTTCGTTCTTCATCCTTCTTCCTCTTTGTTTCTCATTGTGGCTTAACGGTGCTGCAGATACTTTGGCAGGAAGCAGGTGAATCCCACAAAGGAGGAGGCGGTGGAGAACGTTCACAACTTGGTAATGGCCGACTACTCGTATTGGACTCTGTCCTACGCCATCTCCCTGCAGGGAGCCCAAAAACTGCTCAACGCTGAGCCGCTGTCCAAGATGCTTCCTGTTGATGAATTCCTCCCCATCATGTATGACAAACATCCCAAGTATGTATGACAACTGCACTGAATACGCCTTATTAATCCACACCTCGTACTTTTCTTGTTTAAATCTTGATGAACATGTTGGTGAAATGATTTAGTTGTAGTTGTTTTGTATCAGTCTTTTTCACATTCAGCGATTTTTATGATAAAACTTGTTTTTCAGCACTCCACAACCTCCCCGCCAGACCTATAAATCTGAAAGTAACTTCATAACTGCCACAAACATTCTTCCCATAGTTGCCTAAACTTGCATACGTGATAGATTAAAGAAGTATAGTGAAGTCTGTGGTTTCTTTGGAAAAAGTCCGTTTTGGCCATACTCTCTATTCTTGTCAGTTTAATGCAGTGCTTGTCGTGCTGATTTAGAACACCAAATTTCAATGGTGGTCTTTTTTTTTTTTCTTTTTTGTTCTCCTTATGATGTGAACGTTTCATGGCAGCGTGTCTTTCTGAGAATGATTGTCTGAATTTTGGGCAAAGTGGATTGCCACTTTTTTTTAGACACAGTGTGGTTGCCAGATACTTTAACAGCCAGAGGGGATACAGATGTGTCCGTGGCAGCTGCTTTTTTAGCCACGCTATTGGTATGTATGACTTGTCGGCAGGTCAGTCCACTAATGTGGTCCAGACTGAAAATTCTCAGATGAGGTAATGGAAATGGTACCGACATTCATGCGGAAATAACTTTGATGACCCCTTAACCTTTCAATAAGTGCCATCAAAATGTTAGTTTGTTTGTACAGCCTCAGCTGTACTTTGTGTTTAGTGTTATGTTTGCATGCTAACACCTTAAGCTAAGACCGCCAGCATGGTAAACATTATACCTGCTAAACATTAGAGTACTAGCATTGTCATCGCGACACGTTAGCATGCCAACATTAGCACTGTACTTAAAGCGCCACTGTGCCCAACTGCAGCCTCACTGAGCTGCTAGCGTGGCTGTAGACTCTAGTTTACTTTCTTATATTCATGTTGGCGTCACATGTGGTCCAGCCAGTCTTAAAACAGCAACATTTAAGTCCTCCCACCACTCAAAAAAATGTTCAATACTCTTCTTTCTGAGCCCACACTAACTCCTCCTCTTCCCCCACTTAACTCACGCAAGATGGCTGTTGATTGAATTTGTGGTTTAATATAAAGACATTGTCGCGTGCATTCATTGCGTCATCTTCTGAAGTTTTATAAAATATACACTTCACCTCAAGAATCTCTTTTTTTTCATTATTCATTGTCTGCATCTCTTTGCAGCCCCGACCCAATTTCTAACCCTAATCTCTCCGTCAAACGACTTTTCTCATCATCCCACATAGCAGACTAACTGAGACACATATGGGGCGCCGACTGTAAGAGATGAAATGCACCTTGGGCTGAAGGGCCTGCAAACCAGAAGGCTTGGCAGTGTCTGTGTGCTCCATCATGTGTGCAAAACTGGCTTACAGCCAACCCACTTTCTCTATTCTCTCTCTCTCACCTCTGTGATTCTAATTCGATATGCTTGACTAGTCGGCAAAGAATGCACAACGACCGCACACCACACATCGGTCCTGCTGTCGCCCGTTCACGCTAAGAGCAACTGAACTGTCTTTGGAAATCTGTCTCTGTCTCCATCTCTTGTCAAATCAGTGAATTCCAAATCCATCACAAAATATCAGTGATATTGACTAAAACAATATTATTGTGCACTAATATTATATCTCTGATGCAGGACTTATATTTCGTTTTTGTGACATACTAGATATATGTTAAAGAATGAACCACATCAAATCTATATAATCTCTTTTCACTGTTCTCTCTTTGCAGTAAGGACTACAAGTCCCATTTCACCAACAGAAATTTACACGCCTTCAGTACACGCCCCCTTGTGGTCCAGCCGTGTCACTATGCCGGCGATCCCCAGTGGGTGAGCGACACGGAGACGTCGACTCTGTGGGACGATGACGCTGTGCGCACCGATTGGAGGGGTTCCCACAAGACCCTGAAAGGGGCTGCGCCGCCAGCCGGCGTGCTGTCAGCGACCTACAAGGATGAACTTTAGTGCGGAGCAGACGTAGCCGTGGAGAACCTGCAGGTCAAAAGGCCACAAGGTCAGAGAGACAGATGCTGAGGAGAGAAAGTATTCCCAGACTTTATTTTCGGCCGCGCCACCGACATGCCCAGTGTCATTTAAACTGGACATTTCAAAGCATGTCAGCAAGAATTTGTCGTAAGAGGATCTTTTTGGTGGAAAACAACATAAGGGACAATGTTTAATTGAGGATGTTTGTAAAGAAATGTCTTTTAATACTTCTACAGATGTCAGTGCACCCTCAGACTCGTTTTTATCTTTAATTCAGACATTTTAATATGAGAGTTTATACAGTTTGTTTGGCTGATAACAACAGCTTTTTTTTCTGTATGCTTGTGTTGGTTTGTGTGCTTGTGATGATTGCATGTTTATGATGTTAATTGGACAGCATTTAATAGGACAGGGAAGAGGTGACTTTACAGGCGCTGACTGAGGCTCCAGTAGCTGCATTGTTCACAACTCCTGGCAAGTTTGGACAAAAGTCTGCTATTGTTATTGATATGATTTATTTGTTTCCCTTTGTTGGTATATCTGTCTGCTTATCCATTTCTCCATTTGTCCATCAAGAGAAACACTTGTATTTAACCCAAAGCTATACTGACCCTAATTGATATTTCCATTGGCTTCTATAACAGTTTTAAAGCTGATGTACCTCATGGTTTCTAGAGGACTGTGTAAGACTGTTTCAGTGGTACCAGATTATATTAAGGGAGTATTTTGTTAGTGGAACAAACTAATTGAATGTTTGCATTTGAACAATTTCAGCCTCTATAACGTGTTTTGATATATATTAAGTCATTCATAGATTAACTGACATAGACTACCATCTCCTCTGTAGCTGTTTTTTCATATTTTTCACTTTTAGCCACAGAAATTGGATTTTCAAGGTCAGAGTTTGTATAATATTTATTTAGCACTCCCAATTCTACAACCACCAGGTCATTCTACTTTTTAATTGTATGTTTTTGGAAGTATTAAACTGTATTTATATAGACTTAAAAATGATATAACATAATCTATATTCTTGAGCTAAAACCACAACATATTCACACTCCAACTAACGCGTATTACGCTTAAGTGTTTTCAAAACCAGTAAACATATATTATGATTACTTTAGACCACATCTTTTGAAATAAACAAGTAATTTTGGGATATAGTTGCATAAAACCAATCATGAATGTTGAGATGTGATCTCCTGGTGTCAGCTTTTGCAGAATGCTGCTACTGTTTTGGGGTAAAAACCAGCTGCTTTGCTGTGCTAAATATTATGTTAAAAAATGAAAAAGTCTATAAATGGCATAGAGACCATTTCCACAAGGTAAACAATCCAAAAGTGTCCCAGTTTATTTATTGTATTGGACCCAAACTGTTGCCAAGCCATGCAATACTGTTAAAACTGTAATCTATTAAAACACAGCCTTTGATAACCTTTTTGTAGCATCACTGGTGTCCTTAAGGCAATGAATGTTTGGACATTTGCACAGGGTAGCAATGCAAGTACCTGATGATGTAATTCTGATGCCCCTCATGGATTTAAATGATGATCAGTTATACTAGACGTTTTGTATTCGTTAGCCGTGAAAAGCATTTATGATGAAAAGGTTTTTAGGTATCTATTTGCTGTTATTATTAGTGTATCTTTTCCTTTATATTTCTTAATTTATTTGTCGGGTGTTTCTTGATGATGGATGAGTCGCAAGACATGATGCAAAGTAAGCAAATTGCAATCGCTTTTATGACAAAAGCCTCTGTGTGTTTGTGTCTTTGAGCAACACATTTGTATTCAGATGTTATAAAACAGGATGTTAGGACAATTGAATAGCAAACTTTTCTGACATAAATTGTATTTCTCATTGTCATTGTGGTTGTTTTGTATTAGTTAATAAACCAAGCTTTCTGTGGACAGAGGCATATTTAAATATATTGTCATTTGAAAAAAAGTACCTCCAGATGTTGCATTGACAGAAATCCACCACCAGATGGTTCAGTTTTTCATTTTGTTGACTCAAAAAATGTACCCAAAGAGAAGGGGTGACCACTTGCATAGTTATTGTTTTATTCATACACTTTCATAATAGTGACAATCTTTATAACTCTTATTTCACATATATCTAACAGAGAACTCTCAATTTCTGCCAATTATTTTCAAAGTATCGTAGTAGTTCAGGAGCAGTGCTGTCTGTTCTGTCACAATGAGGTGCAACAAGTCAAACCAGATAATGTGTATTCAGTTGTATTGTTTCGTGAAGTCACTGGTGTTCAACAGTCAAATGCATTGGCAAGAATATATGACCAGTCTTCTTAGGAACTAGTAAAATTTGATATATACAAGTAATTTGAGGAGTTTGTGTATTTACATGTATATCACCCCTAGGCCTACAGCTGTGCTAAATATAGTTGACTTAATGTAATGAAATGTAGGATCATCTGGTTTACGTGGCCTTATTTCCCTCTGGAACACCATGTCACATGTCAGCATGAATGACAGCTAAAGAAAGGTCACAACATACATGAGATAGGCTTGCTGTTTGCATAAGCATAGCACACACACTTGCAGATGTATGCACATGTAAAGGTGTGTGTGTGTGTGTGTGTGTGTGTGTGTGTGTGTGTGTGTGCATGCCATGCTGCACTTAATTACTAGTTAGGCAACTTGGTTATTCAACTACATGAAAGGGTTTTAAAGAAGACAATAAAGGTCAAAGGTTGGTGTACTGTAGACCCCCCCACACACACACACACACACACACACACACACACACACACACACAGATAAAACAGAAGGATTGGCTGCAGCTCTTAGTTTTTGCTCTCCTGATCCAGGCTGTATGAACAGGAGAGAACCTCCTCTCACAGGAGGGAACCTAAACTCAGCGCCTTATTGGCTGCTGGCTTGGAGCTGGGCAATCACGTGGTCAACTTGGCAAGCAGAGCATTGCATTTGGCTCAGGGCACAAGGTTCCATAACGTTGTGCTGCTGAGGTAAGGAGGGTGTTTTTTTTTTGTTTTTTTTAAATCTCATCTCACCCTTTAGTCCCCTGCTGCAAGATTACTACAACCATCTATTCAATGTCTCACACATCACTCCAATCCCGTCTTTCTGCAAACTGTTTGTTTTAGTTTTTTTTTTTTTTTTTTTCACCTTTTCAGTGTATTTTTCTGGGACAGTCGGTAAAAGGCGGAACCGAACTGGAACCGAACTGCTCGGTTCCGAACTGCTGTTGTGCAACAAAGTTTCTGCACGGCGGAAGCTGCAGGTTTGGTGACGTTGTTCTGCGATCGAGGCTTAATGTTGCAGAGTTTATGCCCCGTTACAGCTCGCATCCTCGCAGGCTGTTTTGGGACGTGGGGTTGACAGGCTAACGCGTGCTGTATGTTCAATGGGCATGTTACGTTAATGTGCTAATGTGTTACCGTTTCTCAAATTAAGCGACAGCGGGTGTTGTGAAGAGGCGATTAGAAATGTAGAGTGCGCAACTAAAAAAACGGAGGATCAAGGCAACACCAACAACAAACTTCTGTACGTTTTTTTTTCAACGTGTAAGCTGATCGTCCACAGAAACTATTCAGCCACCATGCAAATGTCACCCTAAACCGGGTTCTCAGGTTTTTGATCCGGGAATGGGTAGACGGGTTTAGTCAGTACAAAGACAAGTCGAGGCAATTTAGTTTATAGCACGGTAAAAAGGCAGTTCAAAGCGCTTAAATAAGGAATAATAAATAACCATTAGTGCTGGGGCTGTTATGCTCCAAGTCCAGTCTTCAAGGTATGTCAGATCTATAATGCTATGGTGGAAGGCATTGCACACAGATTTATTTACCAAGACCGTCATTCATTGACCTTGTTAAAGTTGCAGCTTAATCTTCTTTTAGTAATAATATGACACAGTGAACGTTGATCTCTATGGAAAAAAAAAAAAATAATTTGTTTCAGCGTTTGGTGACTGGAACTGGAGTTTATCTACATTATCTCAAAGCACCAGTTTGCTTGAACCTTTCCACCATATTGTATATGAAACGACGCAAAATTCAATTTGATGAAATGGTACACAAACTATTTTCTGCATATTTACTCATACAGAATGTACTGTTATGTCGCCTTGAAGTTCAGACATGTTTTTTAGTAAATAACTTATATTGTATTGTACATAACTTTACTATGACCTTAAATATTCTGCATAAATACAATCCAGATGTTTCTGCAGCATCACTCTGCCTCTCTGTGTCCTGATCACAGTGGCCATGGCCTTCCTAGGGCGCGCAGCTCGGTGTGTGGTGTCGACAGTGCGGCCTCCTCTCTCTCCCTTGTGCCGGACGACCGCTCGGTCCTACAGCTCGGAGCCCACTAAGGAAAAAAGTGTTCCCTACGAGAAGACGCTAAAGAAAAAGGATGGAGCCTCCTCTGGACCCACTAAACCTTTACCCAGGTTGGCTTAGTGGGTGGATGTGTGTTAACTGTATTGTGTGCACTACAAGTGACCGTTGACTTCCAGTAGTTTTTTGCATTTTAAGACCAGCTTCTGTTTGAATTCTTACATGATGAGATGCTTTTGCATGAAGAATGAACGCACAACTGGGTAAATTGAGGGTTTGGGCAATGGATCAGTACAGCATCGCCCTTTATCCCACTTTGAAAGCCGTGTTCTCAGCTCACCTGTAGTTACCTGCCTCAGATCAGCGGATGTGGTGGTGATCGGAGGAGGCAGTCTGGGCTGTCAGACCATCTACCACCTGGCTAAAATGGGGATGACCAACGTAGTTCTGCTGGAGAGAGACCGACTGACTGCTGGCACCACCTGGCACACCGCAGGTAACGAACCGTATAGAATATGGAGAATAAGGAAGACTTCTATGTGCAGTAGTGCACTTTCTGTTGAAACCATCCACCCCTCACTCGTTTTCTCTGCACTACCTACTGTATCTTTTTTCCATGTCTCCTGTACTTCAAGTCTTGATAAGGTCTCTGCAGATAAAGTGCTCACAGTTGTATTTTGACCTGTACACTGAACATGCATTTTTGTTAATCTGCCTGTGTGTGTGTGTGTGTGTGTGTGTGTGTGTTCACTAGGCCTGCTGTGGCAGCTCCGTCCCAGTGATGTTGAAGTAGAGCTCTTGGCCCACACCAGGAATGTGATCAGCAAAGACCTGGAGGAGGAGACGGGTCTCCACACAGGCTGGATCGAGAACGGAGGACTCTTCATTGCCTCCAACAAGCAGAGGCTGGACGAGTACAAGCGCCTCATGTCGGTAAGAATCACGGTTGTTTCATGTGATAAAATACCATTGAACTTTTCCTACATGAAGTGGCACATTGGGAACAAAAAAAAAAAGTATGCTACAAGCAAAAAGCTGTAAATCTCAGTAATGCTCCACAAAAGAAATACACGGTTCCAAAATCGTTTTTTAGGTAGGAGATACATATGATCACTGGCCAACAGCATGTAAACAAAAGTTTAATGATAAACTGCTACAGTGCATGTAAAGACTTATATTCAACTGCGATTTCTCCAAGTTAACACGTTTCTAAGAAAAATACTGATTGTTTCTGTCAGCTAAAGGGCTGCCAACAAGTATTGGCTCATAAATATTTGTATTATTGAGGTAATGACCCCTGATGGCATAATTACCGAAGAACAATACCTGAGAGAAACTTGATTTGTGCGCACACCACAGGCTCCTAATAAAGTAGCAGTTTTTAAGAATTGCATTTCAATGGGTTGAAACATATTTCCAGATACTCCTCTGGGGTTTAAAAGCAGAGTTCATATTTTAATTGCTCAACATACGCACATGATCAGGGAAAAGGCTTTTGTTTACCTTGATTACGTGTGTTTGAAGTTCAAAGTTCACATGAGACTTCACCTACTCAACGCATGGCATGAAACTGATCCAGCCAGGAAAAAGAAGCTAAAATATTATGGTCAACTATCCTCAGTTAAAACCTAGTTAATGTTATGCTACTAGTGGCTGTTACTCAACTCCTCCTTCATACAGTATGCTTCAGGAAGCTAAGTTTGCTCATTTGATGTAGAATAAAGGTGAAACAACTGATCATCTTTAAATGGGAAAATGAATCCCTGTTACTGAAGAACGTAACTAATAAAAAATGCCATCTCCCCTCATTTCTAGCTGGGTAAAGTTTATGGTATCGAGTCCCATGTCCTGTCACCGGCGGAGACCAAGGACCTGTATCCGCTGATGAACGTTGATGATCTGTACGGAACCCTGTATGTACCAAAAGACGGCACCATGGACCCGGCAGGCACCTGCACCACCCTGACCAGAGCTGCCACCACCAGGGGAGCCACGGTAACGAGCGCTTGTCTGCTGACTAGTGGTTCTCCTACTGGAACAGCAGTATACAAAATGTTTTAGAATTAGTTCATCCTGGGGTTTTCAAGTGTTGGCCTTGGGCTCCTCTCACTGCGGCAACAATGGTGTCGATCCACCCTAGTTTCCAGAATGCAAGCCTATTCCTTTGGCCGACCTCTTATCTTTAGAGGATGAAGTTTGGCCGATACTTGGAGATAAACTCAAACCTCCACATGAAAGCGCTATTAATCATGCTCAATCAACTCATCAGGGGTGTGAGAGTGGCATATTTCTCTGGCCTGATCAACAATAACAAGTATAATTTTTGATTAATAATATTGACAAAATTATGAATCCTGCTCATTCTTGATTTCCTGCCTACCTCATCTTTTCTGAATTTCTTTGTGGACAAGATCAATGGTCTCAAGTCAAATGTCAACCTTGGAGCTTATCACTCCGATCGAGTTACCTGCCCAGTTCAACTCTGTCTCCATTCAAGCTCTCTGAGATATAGTTTCTCATAAACGTCCATCGTCCTGCCCTGCTGGTATGATTCCACTATTGTACTGTGTAACAATAGCACCCATATCTGAACAAGGTAATCCAGTGTAGATAGCCTTGTGTACAGCTAAACATTACTTGCTGTTTCTAACTAAATGACGTCTTGAATGGCAGTGAAGTTTTGATGGTCAGTGCCTTCATAGTGCATTTCAAACAAAAGTAGACTGGAACTGTTATACATACGCTGTATACAAATTTAGAGACGAGCCTTTTTTGAACTTCAGGCTTTAGTCTGACTTTTTGGCCTCATAGAGACGTAGTGCGATTAACAATTTTACCTTTGTCTTATGTTGTAGTAGTAGTCTTTGAGGAATTGAATATGAAGAGGATTATTAAGGCAAAATTGTGTCAAAGGAGAGCGATTGAGTCAGTAGACTGAACCTCCACTGCCGTCACAGCGGCGTTGGAGAACATTAGGCCACTCTTCTTTTTCACAACCTCAGCGAGCAGATAAAAGGGCTCGAATGATATTAGATTGAATAACTGTGCCACTCGTCAGGGTGGAGCAGAGCATGTACATCATCTTTAATGTATGTCTTTTAATCAGGTGATCGAGAACTGCCCTGTGACCGGCATCCAAGTGCGGGCGGATGACTTCGGTGTGAAGAGGGTGAAGGCAGTGGAGACCGCTCATGGGACCATTGAGACGCCTTGTGTGGTGAACTGTGCAGGTGAGATTCAGACAAGATCAGCTAACTAACATACAACACCACAGATGAAATGCATTTTGGTCTTATTTGACATGTATAATAAACATTTTATGACACAATGCGAGGCTTTCTGGATGTAACTTAAGTTGATATTTGAACAATTTGGTGCAATTTTACAGGTGTTTTTCCCGAAATTGGATTTATCTACATTTAAAGGTGGCGTTCTTCTGACATTTTTGTCTCCGTGTGTTACATGCAGGTGTGTGGGCCACCAAGCTGGGGGCAATGGCTGGAGTCAAGGTGCCTCTTGTTGCAATGCATCACGCCTATGTGGTGACAGAGAGAATTGAAGGCATACAGGTAGGACCTCCATGTGTCATACCTGAACAGCCTCACTGTGGTTCATGATCTGTTGCATGAAAAATATAATCAATCAATCACAGACGTGGCTCCTGATTATAACGGCTCTATTCTGTCATTTGTTTGGTTTATGGGGCCCATACAGGGTATTTTAATAGAGCCACAACATGTCCTCTGGTGTACAAATCTGTATCTAAGATGTATTTTTAATCATGTTGGGCCAAACACAGTATTTGTGCTACTTGTGTTTGTGTAAATCCCTTCATCTGTCTGTATTAACTCTTTTTGACCTGCAGGGGGCACTGTGACATTACAGAGTTCCACCTTTAATGGTCCAGAATGCCATTAGTGACATGTGTGTGCTTATTTGTGTAAGAGAGAAAGGGGGATTGATTTGTTTGTATCCTTTTTAATGCTGATCATATGTGTATTTGGGGGGGGGGGGGGGGCCTCTGTATGCAGATCTAACACATGTCTGACATGGCTTGTGTAAACTTCCCTTTGCTTGTGAATCTTGTGTGTTAGCTTTAGTCAGTGTACACATGCATAACTGTGCTCGTCCTCTCGAGGCCGGTGGTTTTTAGGGGGGCTGTCGGAGCTTCTCTGTGTTATGTAGTTTAAGAGCAGCTTAACCAGCATTACTGCTACATCATGTACACAGTCGTCAGCCCACACGCACAAAATGACACAGTCGGAGGCCACCGGGAAATCTGTTCCCACCAGGGTGTGCGACTTGTCAGGTCAAACATCTCACGCTGACCACATGTCTGTGTGTGTGTGAATACATTGCGATGCTGTGGTGGGTTTGAATTTAAAAACGCTCGCTGGAGACGGCTGTACGGGTTTATATCTGCGAGTTCACGAAGGACAGAGTGCATCGAAGTCCAGTGGTGATCACATGCAGCGAGCAGCTTGACTGTACTCGGCACAGAAGAGAGAGGAAAGGCACAGTTTTGGCTGTTATTATATGTAGCGTGCTGTTTCCAAATGTCAGCTTGTTCACTGGTATTTTGGTTTTGTACCCACGGAGCCAATTGACTTTGGAATGAAAAGCACTCCCCACGGAATGAATACAAATGACACGACACACGTAAAGTGTAACTGTTCGGCAGACACTTCTCCCAGAATATTTACTCCGACTCAAGGGGATGAATGCTTCTCTCTGCTGTGTTTTGGAAAGAAGATTTCATGGTGTGTCAGTAGCTGCCTTACCGTACGTAAAGAAGCTCTATGGTTTGTTAAGGCACGTCATGGTATGCCACTGGAGCTTTAGATAAAGACTTGTATGGTTGTTATGTCCCGTATTATATACCCTTTTCTATCTATGTATGCCTCTGGTTACAATAACAAAAAGCACTAAATACTATGGAAGAATCTGGGTCTATAATCTTATTATCAAACCTAAAGGAAAAATGGCACAATTATTCTAATTGATCACAAGTTTAGTTCATTATCTGGTTTGAATGGCAAGCATTTTCTGGTGCAGCTTCAATTATGTACCATCATCAACTTGCTTATCTTTGTGTCTTGTCTTTATGAATGTTAATTTTACAGTTGGAACTGCCAATCAAACAAAGTGATCTCTTCGATGTAGATTGAGGCTCTTATAATTCATCCTTCTCTTGTTCATGAATATGAATCTGCCCATCATTTTGTCAGTGAAACACAATTTGTTTGGACTAATTCATGTTTTTGAATGTTTCCACTTTAATCTTCACTCGCTGCAGAACATGCCAAACGTCAGGGACCATGATGCATCGGTGTACCTGCGCCTCCAAGGTGACGCCCTGTCTGTGGGGGGTTATGAACACAACCCCATCTTCTGGGATGAGGTAAGCTTGAATATTATCTGAGTAACAGTTATTCCCTATTGATAGCTTACAGACCCTGAAACCTTACGTATTGACTGTCTACGTGCGTATCAGTTTTGTTTGGCATAAAATGAAATACTTCAATTGAGAACTATGTAAAGTTTAATCCTGTTTCCATAGTCTGTTAGTTTGACCCAGTCTCTTATTTAGTCTGTTTTTGTTCTTGCTGCTGTATTAGCATGGAGGTCAAACTGTATTCATAGCAGGACTAATACAACTGTGTGTGCGTGTGTGTGTTCACTAATCTCCCAGTGATGGAAGGAGCTATTCAGTAAGTAAAAGTGGCAATATCATAATATACACTGCTTAAAAAAATTCAGGGAACACTTAATCATCACAGTATAACACCAAGTGAATTAAACTTCTGGGATATTGATCTGTCCAGTTCGAAGGCGTAAACGATTGTGAATCAATTTCACCTGCTTTGGTGCAAATGAAAGCGGCAACAGGTGGAAGCAACAGCAAGTTGGCGCAGAAAAATAGTTTTTTTTTCCCCCTAGTTTTGCAATTTGCTTGTGCCCTTGTCACTACTGGTAGCATGAGGGTGATACCTGCAGTCCATTTAGGGTGCATGAGTAGTCCTGCTGCTCCAGAATGGCACATCCACACAAGCCATTGCAAGAAGGTTTGCTGTTTGCCCAGCAGCAGGACAGGTATCTGCTCTAAGAGGAAGAGCACTGCTCTACAAAATGACCTCCAGTGGGCTACTCGTGTGCACGTTTCTGACCAAACCGTCAGGGACAGACTCCTTGAAGGCGGCATGAGTGCCCCCATATACTCTAATTGGACCTGTGCTCACAGCCCAGCACTGTGCAGCTCGATTGGCATTTGCCAGAGAACACCGTTCTCTTCACAGATGAGAGCAGGTTTACAACTAGCACATGTGACAGATGTGAAGGAGTCTGGAGATGCCGCGGTGAACGTTGTGCTGCCTGCAATCCAGCGTGACCGGTTTGGCGGTCCGTGATGGTCTAGGAAGGCATATCCTTGGAGGGTCGTTCAAACCTCCACGTGCTACCCAACGGTACTCTGACCGCTGTTAGGTACCAGGATGAAATCCTCAGACCCATTGTTAGACCTTATGACGGTACAATGGGCCCAGGGTTCCTCCTGGTGCAGGACAATGCCCGGCCTCATGTGGCCAGAGTGTGTAGGCAGTTCCTGGATCAGTAAGGCATTGATGCTATTGACTAGCCTTCACATTGAGAACCTCTGGGACATTATCACCTTTTATAGGTTAATGATTTTGGTTTCCATTGTCCGTTCTTACATCATTTTGTTCTTGAGGAATTACACAATGAAGATATCAATAAAGATTTTCAACTTGAATATTGTGTTCATCAAGATACGATGTGTGATTTAAGTGTTTTCTTAATTTTTTTTGAGCATTGTAATTTTATATATTCATGACATATTAGGATGCTTTCTTGCCAAGAGTTGGAGGAGAGGAGTGATGCTACTCTTATGTCTGTAGTCAGGAAGCAGCTAGCCTAGCTTAGCATAACAACTGCAAGTAGGGGTAGCTAGCCTGGTTCTTGCTACAGTTCATAAGTGCTTCTATCAGCACTTCTAAAGCTCACTACACCTAATCCCAAAAAGTGTAAAAGTGACATGGTTGACACGCTTCTGGTTCTAGCTTCATATTCGGAGTACAAACATAAGAGTTTCAAGAAAGCAAATAAGCCTATTCCTTGAAAATGTGAACAATTTCTTGAAAGTATGTAGCCGGACTCCGGATGCATTATTAGTTTAGAGGCGGCGTAAACAGCTAGCCTGGCTCTCTCCAGAGGTATGAATGCCTACCTAATAGTTAAAAGCTGACTTATTAACACAATATATCATTTGTTTAATTCGTACATGAAGAAAGTCAAAAGTAGTTGCAACATTGCAAGTCATGCAACAAGTAGTGTACAGTAAACACTGTACCTGTGGTTGCATTGAGGCAAGGTTGGTATACTGAATAGAAATTAATTTATGAGTGTATTTCCACACTAATGGAAGGGCCTAATGGCTTCAGTGTTTTTTGGTAAGTACCCTGGGCAGGGCTCGGTATCGAATTTGCATTTAAAAAGCAATGTGTTGTTGTCCATTTCAGCGTAACAAACATATTGATGAGCAGAGCATATGCACCAAAGGCAATAAACCCATTGATTTTAACAAACCCCATAGCCGCTCATTCAGCACCACCAAGAATATATATACAGTATGTATGATATTTTTAGCTCCACTACTGGTGAAATTGCTTTTATTGGAATATAAAAACTTAAATAAGTATAATAAGTAATTGTACAAGCTGTTCTTTCAGGCACAGACAGACTCTTTAAAGAGGCGGCTGACTTTAGAGAATGATCTTTATATAAGCTTTTAAATCGACAGGTGGTCTTGGTCTTAATGGATGTGTACTGTCTCTCAAGGACAGGTTTTTAGAGCAGCGTGTTAACTCGGCAGGCCGGTTTGGTGGCAGGCATCTTTGCTCTTTTTCCTCTTCTGGTGTTCCACACCTGAAACATTTCACTGCTCATGTTTGTTTTATTTCTTTATTCTTTAAATCTGTGCAATGCAATCCTGGATTTGTACCATTAACAAGTAAATATTGCTCTATTCAACCTGTTCATGTTTAAGAATGAGCCTCGCAATGAAATACATTTACAAAAGATATTTCAGTTTTTAATAGAAGTTATCTAGCAGCACTGATAATATTAACTTCATGACTTTCCGTCTGGCTGCCTGCCTGTCTACAGACTCCTCAGTGGTCTTTACATTTTAGAGGATTGCTTTGTGCAGAAGCAGCTTCTTTTGTTCTCGTTCTGCAGCTGAGCGTTGCTTTGATGTCTTGAGGCGAATGGAGGAAGAAAGAGGAGATACAGAAAGGAGAATTAGCAGGGAGACGGAGAGAATGGAGGATGCCTACTGAGTGAAGACGAGCGGGATCGATGGCTTGGGAGGGATTGATAGAAGTGTGGTGTCTAGGACAAAGAGCACTGCTCCTCAGATACTCCGGTTGAGTGTCAGTGCTCGGTAATAATGCAGAAACTCTTTGTTCAGATGAAAGGAGCTGCTGTCAGCGTGCACATCCCTGTGACATTCAAGTCGTAATCCAAACTAATTGTAAGCTATAGGAACTCTTTTTCTCCCTCAGCAAGTCTGTCTAACTGCAGACTTCTAACTGAAAGAATCACTTGTATTTAAGATTTTAGACTGTGTTGATGCTGTTAACCAGCGTGATATGTCTGCACTGACTCAGAAACACAGCCACGTTCTGAAAGTAAGAGACTGAATTCCACCATTGAGGAACCAAGATGGAGAAGTTTAAGTGGAGGGGTGACCAGATCAATACCAGGATATAGGGAGAAATGCCAGACTGATATAATGTCAGAGAGCACAGGCTGTTGTGCTGGACTTTTCAATTTGAGCGCCCTTAGTCAGTCTGATTAGTGTAAGAGGGGAACATTTTAAGGCAAGGGCGTTCGGCACTGAAAGGCATGAGTTGTAGGAGCTAAAGGCTCCATTTTTGGCCGACAAGGAGGGAGTTGCAGAGGTCCAGATGGGAGCAAATTAAAGCTTGGACAGGGAACTGAGAGGGATTTGACACATGTTGATTCCACTGGTGAGAAAGAGTCAATTCAACAGATGTTACGGGATTGTGCTGTGGCTCCAGTGAGTGTGACTTACTCCCACAGTTGGCGGTCTACGGTCTACAGTGTGGTGACTTGGACAGTGTTGAGGAAGAACAAGGGAAAAGAGCACATCAGTCTCGATGATATTGACTCTGTAATCTAACCTTTTATTTATTTGTACTTATCTTTTCTAAGTTGCATTTCCTCACAACTGTTCTTCACTTTGTCACTATGGAAGATGTGCTCCCTGTAAGAACACCCTTTTGCAAAGTGTTTTTGCAGCAAGATGCATTATTTACTTGGAACATAACATCCATGTGAAATCAGTTTAAAAATCTGGATGGTTTTTGTGTAAAAATCTGTAAAATCTGAAATTAATGATCCTTAAAAACATCCAAACATGAGCAGCCGCTTTTGAAGAATTACACTCTTGTATTTTGCCAATACTAAAAAAGTCCCGGCAAACACCTTTGCTGTGTTTTATTTCCCAGGTGTCTGATGATTTCGCCTTCAGCCTGTTCGACCTGGACTGGGATATATTCACGCAACACATTGAGGGTGCCATCAACAGAGTTCCTAATCTGGAGCAGACTGGCATCAAGTCTACTGTCTGTGGACCAGGTACTCTCACACACACCAGTTCCACAGAGGCGTCCATTTTTCTGAAAATCCTGCAAGCCCTTCTTGCAAATTGCTTAGAACATTATGCAGTACATCAGGGAACAAGCAACTTTCATGACACTTCTTAAATTGGACACGTTCTAATCTAAAACTGAAATGTATCCGTATCTAATGCTATTACATTAGCTCATGAATACTGAACCTAGCAGACCATGTGTCATGTTTGTAGAGAGAGTTTGATTAGCTCAAGCCTCACTTCCCGTCCTGGCAATATCACGTTGCCGAAGTGGTTGAGTGAGCCGGTCTGTAGCTGTGCATGCTGAAGAGTTACAGCGTTGAATTGGATTTTTCATCATCATAGTGTGATGCAGCTGTTTGCAGAAAAAGAAAGGAAACAAGTGACAACTGAAACATACATTTACACAAATATACACACACATGAATGACCAGAGGAAGATGGAAAACAGAGAGGTGGAGAAGGGAAAGACAGAATATATCTGCAACGCATGAACAGAGAAGATTTGAATTCGAGATAGCGATTCACAGAGTGAAAGAAACGACATAAGTAGAGATGTAAAGAAGGAGAGATGAAAGGTAGAGAAGAAAGACTGTAGCTCAGAGGGAGAGGAGGCTCAGAAGAAATGGAGATAAAAAATGAGGATTTCATTTTTTTTGCAAAGCATCTCCTCGGCTGTGACTCTCACATTATGGCTGTCTTTTGTTTAATTTCAAGTGTTTATATGATACGTACACCACGCTGAGCATTGAGCTCACTGAGCCCTCAACCATGTCTTTGGTGAGAGAGCAGAAATCTCAACCATGAGCCGAGGACCATGAGGACCTATGTCCTTATAAAAGGTTGGTTTAGGATTAAGGTGGTTGGAGTTACAGTTAAGTAGATCAGGCTGAGTGAAAGGTGAAACATATTTTCTTTTGGCATACTCTGTAGGTATTTGAATGTGGCCGAACGTCTTCATGTGTATCATAATACACGTGTGTTTGTGAGAAATAATGTATTCATGTGTGCATTTGTAGCCCCAGTGAGCTGGGGCATTTTGATTTGACTCTCTTTCAGTTCACTTCAATTTGAAAACTATAATACTTATGCACTTATTATGCGTTCTCTATTACTTTGTCCAGGTTTTAACACTTGGTAAGTTGAAGGTACAAACATTAAAGGCGTTAAATGCAAAATTTAGAGCTTATCTATTGACTCAACATGGCGACGGCTGAGCCGGCGGCTCACATGTAACGGTGCTAACAATACAGAGCGGTGGCCATGAGCTAGCTATAGTGGAGCACGCTCACATGCACTAAGTGGCTGGTCCGGATCGAACAACGCACAGAGAAGCTCGGGTTACAACACACAGAGGGAGAGTGACTCTATTCTCTGCTCAGGACACCATTACTGCACTATAGCTTCACATTACTGTTATGGTAATGCTCTGAATATTGAATAGGAAACGTTTAAAACCGTTTCTGCTACACAGGATTTCATTAGTGTTACATGTGGTGTTGTATGATTCATTTGATAACTATATGAATGATCACATGGTGCAAAATAAAAAGTCATCTGTGTCCCCCAAACAGCTCCAGTGTTACTGGTCTTTTACACAAAGTAAAAGTATTGCATGGGAAAATAGTCTCACCTCTGTGGTAAGTCTGTGTTTGTTAAATTCGTTGCCACTTTTATCCACGTTTCTCTCACTGTCTGTTTTCAGAATCATTCACAGCTGACCACAAGCCGCTGATGGGGGAAGCCCCAGAGGTCAGAGGTTTCTTCCTGGGCTGTGGCTTCAACAGTGCTGGTAAGTGCTGCAGAGACGGAAAGATTGAAGAAAGAACGTGTGGTGGGGTGGGGGGGGTTTACAGCAAGAAAAGAAAAGGAAAGGGAGATGAATGAGGAGGCACAAGGATGACGGCGTGTAACGGCCATTAAGGTAAAGACATCTCCGGTCAGAACCTCAACATCTTAAACAAATGCTACGTATCACTCACAGTTGTATGCGTTCAAATACTTTGTGGTGTAGAGCTTTCCCTTGAGGGAGACATGAAATTATGGAGCTAGGAAGGTCTAAGCAATCCTCAGTGCATGGCAATATAAGCAGGAAGAAAACGAGCCAGGAGAAATGGCCGAAGAGTGTTTTACCCATACTTTGACCCAGCCTTTGCCAATCTCTGTGGACACACTCACAAACAAATGAATAATGGAGGACTTTATCCATAGAGAACACACACACACACACAGACAACCCAAGTCACTCCATTACTTCACTCATAGATGAGCTTACCTTTGACATTAGACAGGCAGGAATGTGAGCATCTCAGCAGTCTGAAAACATAGAGGGAGGGGGTGTAAAGGGTAAAGTAATTGCCATCAGCTTTAACAGACGGTTGAGAGAAAGCTTCTTTCTGCATAAGAGCAAAAGGCCACAGGGTCGAGATCTGAAGTTGTTAAGACAAGAGGTTGGAGCTCTAATGAGTGAGCATATACAGTAGTTTTACCACTCACACATAACACACACACACACACACACCTTCCTTCTCTGTTCAGTGTGTTTGTAGGCGAGTTAGCATCTCCTTATCTTTTGCCAAGTTAACGAGGTCTCGCACACTGCTGTCCCTGAGCTGTTGGTAGCTTTTATACCTCATACCTTATTGATTGGACCTGTATTGCTTATGGTTTTACGCTGTGCTGTACATATTATTTGCCAAATATATGCCGGTTCCAGTGTCTCAGATGTGAAGGTTTGCTGGCTCTCACTGTTATGTATCATTGTAAATTGAATATTTTTGAGTCCGGGACTGTTAGTCAGAGAAAAGAAGCGATTGAAGAGATCAGCGTGGGCTTTCGGAAAATGTTATGGCAATTGTTCACTATTTCTGATCAGTTGTAGTTTAAATGATATATCAAAAAAACAGTGGCCAGATAATAATGCTATGAAGACCCTTGCTGTATGGTTTTATTTTCCTTCTACTTTATATAAATTAAAATGGAACAATCCTATCTGAATGGAGGTGGATAAAGTATTGTGTCACCTCGTCCCTGCGTCATGCTGGTACCAAGCTCATTGAAATGGGCCCAGCGTCACGATATATCACACATGGTTACAGTGACTTGGTTATTAAGGATTTTCCACCAGCCATGCACAGCAAGGATATTCCGAACGCCTTCACTTGCCTGACACACACACACACACACACACACTTGAACTCAGCATGCACACACCCAAACAAAACATCCTAGGTTTTATCAAAGCAGGAGCTCAACAATGTCTTTTCCTCATGCTGTCCCCTTTTCCCTTCTCTTTTTACACGTCTTTCTTTCTCCCCCCCCCCCCGCCTCTTCGTCCCTCTGGCACGGGAAAAGTCCTCTGTCATTTTCGCTCCGTCACACAAAAACACATGCACACACATGAACTCACACAGCTTATTTGGCTCAGGGCAGAGCAAGAGAAGTGGGGGGGGGGATTCAGAAACCACCCTTCCGTTGTTTTGTTTTACTTGCTGGAGTTCATTCTGGTTTCCAAGCGATCAGTAACTCTGCTTACTTGTAGAAGTTGCATTTGTTACTGAGCAACCTTAAGTTACTTTTTTCTTAGTGGGTCAGAACCATCATGATGAACTTTGAGGGCATTTATTCATCCTGATTATGGTTTATTTAATTGCTTTTAACTTCTGCACCTCTTAAATCTATCACCATGTTGCTAATCATAACACTGAGCACCTTCATTGGTATTATGGTAGTATTTCTGTAACTGTCACTGCTTTGACAGAGATGCCTTAATGTCTTCTGCAAAACAACATGCTTACAAGGCATGACTAAGGTAGAGAAGGATGAATACAATGATGCACGTTTTCTCCCTCTTTAAAGCATTTGTTGATTCACTAGCGGCATCACTGTAAATGTCAGAAGAAAGGGAGAGGGGAACTTATCTAAAAATAATTTTAGAGTAATACAGGAGAGAGAGGACCCAGGAACGTTTGCACGCCATTAACGAACAGTAACAGAGCGAGATGCCGATAGTGGGGAAGTGGAGGGGAAGTACAATGGCAGAGAGGAGGGACGATAAGACGAGCGGAAGCACGAGCATAAGGGTTCACACGTAGATACTCGCTCACACATCAGTGTAGTTATCTCTGGTGACATTTATCAGTGCCACCTCGCCTTGTTGGTTGTCTCCACATAATCTTAGGAGAACTCCATTATCCCCCTTACCCGTCGTCCTCCCTCTGTCTCTCTACCCATCCGCCCATTCTGCCATTCTAACATCCATCCAGGCTTGGCCCAGAGTGCCAGTGTCTGCAGATGAGTGAAGCGATGACAGATAAAGGGAGGAGGCACGCTGTGAGAGATGGAGAAGGAGGGATGCAAGGACACACTGATCGTGCTGCTGCATATTGATGTCGTGTGTGTGTGTGTGTGTGTACGTGCACACAACATGCACACGATGCATGCAAATTACCAGCAACACAACACAAGAAGGGGGTTGCTAAAAGGGAGCAGCTCATTAACCCAGCAGTTTTGGGGACCGGATGGGTGAAATATTGAATTGCCAGTGTTGCATGTTGGTCGGGTTGAAAAACAAAGCTGCAGCCGCTAGGTTCAGCTGATGAGGTCACATTGCTCAGGGGCAGCCGTGAGCAAGGGTCAAATGATGGAACAAAGGTCAAAACAATCCTCTGTAGGTCATATATGACATATAGAGGCTCCAAATTAATGAGACACACTCGCAGTCCTCCAGACTGGCAATCGGAGAGAGAGGGCCAGGTTTTTGTTCATTTACTAACGTGAGCCTGTGCAGTAATCTGTGACAAACTGTTTTTGATTCTGCAACTAACAATCATTTTCATTAGCAGGTAGTTTGTCTGTAATGTTTCTCTCTTGTCTGAGATTTCATCGACTAAATGATTATTCAAATACGGGTTTATGGATAATGAAAATAATTGTGAGTTGCAGCCCTCGATCAAAAACTCAGATTCCAGAATAATAGATGGAAGCAGCAAATATAGCCTCTTTTTTTTGTGCTTAATTCAGTTGTAGAGTAGCTACACTCTCTGGTGCTTATTGAACCTGTCTTCAGTGATGAACCCGGGGTCATAGGGGGTTTCGGGTCTTTAATCATCAGACACCCTCGCCCTGGTGACCCAGCTGGGGGTGATCAGCCCCAGACTTGTGTCCAAGTGGGGCCCTGCTCCACGGCTTCCCCTTCTAGATCCACAGCCTCATCAAGGCCTTGTCAGCATCCTCCAGGATGTTTTTGGTGGCTCCAGCAAAAGCCCCGGCACCCAACTCCCCTCAATGCCTTTGGGTGGCACCACAGCTTCCTCTGTCTGCCACTTCCTTCTGGTCTTTACAATGATTCCTGTCGAGACAACTTTAACCTCCCTGGCTCGAGTTGTTGACTACTTGTTTCAGCATTCGTTAACATGTGAATCTGAGATGCTGTTCATACCAGTTTCTGTGTGTTTGTGTTTTTGTCAGGCATGATGCTGGGAGGTGGTTGTGGTAGAGAGCTGGCTCACTGGATCATACACGGCCGCCCTGAAAAGGACATGTATGGTTACGACATCAGGTACATCAATGCACAAGAAGACTGTCTACAAACCTACAGAGGTGAAACTTAAAAGCATTTGAGCAGTGACAGTGCTCGCAGGAGGTTTCATCGGTATGGCGCCGCTCTATTAAGCAGAACATGGCTTTGAGTTTCTGTTTGGCATTTCATTAAAAGGACAGCAGGAACCAGAATAATGATGTTTAAATGAAGTCTGAATGATTGTGTCTTTTAATGAGCGTTAATCTTTTTGAATTCCTCTCCCTCCTGTCTCAGGCGTTTCCATAACTCGCTGACAGACAACACGAGCTGGATCAGAGAGAGGAGCCATGAGTCGTATGCAAAGAACTACTCTGTGGTGTTCCCCTTTGATGAGCCGCTGGCCAGCCGAAACATGAGGAAGGACCCTTTTCATCAGGTAGATGAGCCGTTAAAACAGCGCGTTTCTTGAGTTCAAGGAAACAACCCCGATGTGCGTCCTTCATGTTCGAGTCAGCCGCAAACTGGTTTGATCAGTCACCATAAGTTTAATAGCAAAGAAATGTTTCTTTTTTCCTCTAACAACTATTACTTTAATGATAGAAAATAGGAATGAAAAGAGCGATGAACTATTCATTCATTTTGAAACATGTACTTAGATAACAGAAAATACACACAATTACTCCACAAAGGCTAGTCTAGTTATTTAGTCTGTCCCTGTTATATTGAATGAAGGTTGTTCCTGTGTTTATTTTCCTGAATATCCTGAATCCTAAATTTCTCGCATAAACACAGCATAAAGTGTTTGTGTCTATATTAAAGAAGTAGTCAAATGAAAGCAAAAATATCCTACCCTGTCGCCTCTCCCTGCGATGTTATGAAACCATATTCGCATGTATTTTTTCCTCGATCTGACAAACTTTAAGAATAACCTGGGCTCTGTTGAAGCACTCTCCGTTTGGTAAGCAGGGCTTCTACTTTTTGTGAAGAAGTGTAGGCAGTGTGGTGTGTCTCTCAGGATTTAGACAGACAGACACCTTTTGGCTTGAGCAAAGCTGGGGGGGGGGGGGGGGGG